TATCTTCACTCAGTGCAGAGTCACCTATTGGTGGTGAGATTGTATTGGAGCAGGGGTGTTGGGGTTGTGAGATAGAGGTTGTCGGTCGCCGACTTTCTTTTGCATTTGTGTTAATTGACATGTCGAGTTTTGATGTCATATGGGTACAGATTGGTTGTCATCGTATTGGGCTATCATGGATTGTTGCCGTCAGAGGGTTATTGTATGTACCTCGAGTGGTGATTGCTTTTATTTCATGGGGGACAGAGTCAATAGAGCCTTATTGTCTGTGTGTGATCCGCATGGTTGGGGTGATTTTAGTCTCCTTCTAGCTACATTCTTGGGTGTTGAGACTGATGTGGTTCGAGTTAAGTTAGTGAGGGTAGTTTGTGAATACCTAAATGTCTTTCCCGAGGGTCTCACTAGTTTACCACCTTATCATGAGATTGAGTTTTCTATTGACTTCTATGGCACCGTATAGATTTGCACCGGCCGAGTTGAGTGAGTTAAAGATTCAACTCCAAGAATTGTTAGATAAGGGTTTTCCCTAGTGTTTCGCCTTGGGGAGTACCGGCTCTCTTTGCCAAGAAGAAAGATGGTGCATTACGACTTTGTATTGATTACTAGAAGTTAAACCAAGTAACTATTAAGAACATATTGTCTCGTATAGATGACTTGTTTAATCAGTTGAAGGTGTGTTGTTTCTCTAAAATAAACTTGAGATCAGGCTATCATAAACATGGTTTTATGTTTGGTTTAAAATTTTGGGAATGAAATTCCTTAAGAGAGAGGCTATAGCAATTCCGGTTTGGACCCGACCCATTTGATGTCTTAGATCCGGGTTTCATTGTCTTATATAGTTGTTCATGCCTTATTTCCAATTATTTCTCTTTGAGTTTGGCTATTGGGATGTGTTGGTTGCATTTGAAGCAGGTTGATAACTTGTCTTCCAAATTGTTGTTGCATAGATTTTGGCTTCTTCGCTCGAGTTTCACTTCTTGTGCTCGAGTGGTAATTGTAAACTCTCAATACTTTTGCAGGCCTGCAGAGATACTGGAAGCTGGCATTCTTCGTTCGAGCGACACTTCTTGCGCTTAAGCGATATTGGCTAGAGCGACCTTTCTTGAGCTCGAGCAAAAGTCTTTTGTCTGTAAAACTTCTGCGAATTGGTATTCTTCGCTCGAGCGAAGCTTCTTGTGCTTGGGCGGTGCAACTTGTTGTGTCTGGTCGCTTAAATGACACTTCTTACACTCGAGCGATCTGTGCGTATATCAATTCGTAAAATGCCACTTTTGAATCACTTTTTCATTTCTCTCTATCTCTCTCTAAACATTCTAAAAACCCTAGATCTACACCCTCTCTCTCTAAAACTCTATTTCTCTCTACAAATACACCTAGATCCATCGAGTTCCTCACTCGTGTCCCTTTGTTAAAAAGGCAGAGCACGCCGTGGCCTTCTTTTTCATTCGAACAAAGTTAGGTTTTGGAGTTCTTGAAGTATCTCCATTCTCTCTCTCATTTTCTAAGCTTGAGGTAGGAATTCTTCGCACTCTTTCATGATCTTTAACTTAGTTATTTGTTATTTCTAAAACAATATTATGATTTGAGGATTTTTGGAAAAATCTAGGGTTTTGGGTTAAAAATGAAAATAGGGGTTTTCAAATGTATTCTTGAAAATGGTTGTGGGATTTGAAAATGAGACTGAGTTGTGATAGAATGGTTGGTTTTGAAACTTGGATTTGGCTTTGGAGGAATCTAGGGTTTTACCCTAAATATATATAATGTTGATTTTGTATAAATAATAAGATTGATGTTGGAAATGTGAAATTGGATTGATATTGGTGAGGACGGTGGAGTTGGATATTTATTATCATTCACATCTTGGGATTTGGAAAGCTTATCTTTAATAATAATTATTTATCTATTTTGAGCTATTAGTGGAGGATAGCTATGATTGTTGTAGAAATTGTATGAGAATTAGGAGAATTGAAACTACTTCCTCATTCATTTACATTGGGCATTATCTCACACTTATACATTAGAAATGTTTATCATTTTTAGAAAAATGGGTGAATCTGGAAAGTATGTATTGTCTCGTTGAAATAAGTTGGCCTCAGTGTCCATCGTGAAAGTCTTAAAAACTGCACATATACTGTCATGACCCGAACCCGCCCCCATGGGTTAAGGATATAACCGGGCCAGTAATCATAAGATTACCTGCGGCCTCAAACCAAACCAAACGTATTTTAACAGAGTTAATGGGGGCCAAACGGAAGCAATTTAAAACTTTGTCCATAGAGTTATTGTGCTTACATGGCACATGACAAACCATACATATATATATATATATATATACATATATTAATAACTCACATCAAAATATGTACTAACACAAAGCTCTGTACATATAAGTCTAAGTCAACCAATCAAAACTATATACAAACGTATCCAAAGTCCTCTCCAATATGACAAAATGACATAAGGTAGCAAAAGGGCGAAGACGTGTCTCGTTCGTGAGACGTGAGGGCTAACTCTTCAAAACCTTGGTTGTTTCACACAAACTTCATTGAGGCTAGGTTTGGACCTCTCTTGGCTCACCTACAAACACATGAATGAGCGTGAGCGAAAGCCCAGTGAATAATATCAATTAAAGAAGATACATTGGAACAATATACATTAGACGGCCTTAGGCCCAATTCATATTTCTATCTAGTAAGTGACTGTGGTTCCAAACACATCGGACGGCCTTGGGCCCAATCCATTCATGTCAAACTGGCCTTTGGCCCATTTGTCTTTCATTCATGTCAGACTGGCTTCTGGCCCATTCATTCTTTCATTCAGATCATACTGGCCTCTGGCCCACTCATTCTATCATTCAGATCATACTGGCCTCTGGCCCATTCATTCATTCATGTCAGACTGGCCTTCAGCCCATTCATTCATTCATGTCAAATTAGCATTTGGCCCATTCATACTTTCATGTCAAACTAGCCTCTGGCACATCCATTCATTCGTATCAAACTGGCATTTGGCCCATTCATTTGGCATAGCAAACATTGTCCACCATTCAAATTAATGGACTTATAAGACTTACATAGAAGTAAGTAATTGGACAAACAACATATTTCAAATATCTTTATTAAGATATTACTCACAGTGATCGGCTGGTTGATTTGCCCTGGAACTTAACCCACATCACATAACACATATGGGTCACAACCGATTCAATCCGTTCTTAATTTACACATTCCTCTTTATGCTTCATTCTTGTCCCTTTAATTCATTTACAATGCTTAATGCATGCCTAAGAGTACTTAGGAGTGAAAGAGAACGGGAAACGAAACACATAATGCACTTTCAAAATTTTAAAAACAGGGGTCCCTGCTCGAGCGTGGACTTCCCCGCTCGAGCGGACCCCTGAGGCCTGCAAAAGTGCTGGTTATGTCATTTTTACGCTTGATCGTGAATTCTGGCGCTCGAGCGGAAGGCCTCACTACATGGCTCCCTGCTCAAGCGTGAACTTCTCTGCTCGAGCGAACACCATGCCTGCAAAAAAATACTGGAAGTCCAAATTTTACGCTCAAGCGGCAGTTCTCCCGCTCGAGCAGACATCAAATTTTCTGGGTTTTCTAAAACTTTTTCTTGAGCTCAAACTTGAAATTCAAAGGCTCTAAATACATGATTTTGGCTCAAACTCCACATATACATGTACTAACATGGTACAAACACCAATTTACAACATTATGAAGCTCAATTCCATGAATTACCTACATGCATGTTCCAAATTACACCAAACTTGTTTCCATCATAACAATTCCATGTATTTCAAACTCATATTCTCATGGATGGTACATGCATGTGGAACACAACTTTTGTTCTCAACTTAGATGATGAAGAGATGGTCAAAAACATGAGCTTCAACTAAAATCTTACATGGATCATACATTTTGTGCTCAAACATGCAAATTCAAAGCAATTACACACATGCATGCATACATTGACCTTCAATTCAACATGATCAACTCAATTTCATTTCAATTCTTACTCTTGATTACCCAACTAGCTTGAATACACAATTTACAAACTTATACTTTTGAATTCATGCTCACTTGCTTACCTAGAGGTTCAATTCCTTCAATCTATAGCAAATTCTTGAGTAATCTTCAAGATTTCCAAGCTTTCAAGATCAAACTTCAATTGTGAGCTCTCCCTCTCTCTAAGCCGACCCTTTCTCCTTTTCTTAGAGTTAAATCAGCCAAGTTGAATAAAAGAGAGAAATTAAGTGTATATGGCCCTTTATATAACCCCACTAAATCAAATTATCAATATTAAATAATTGAGCACTTAATTAATCGTTTTGAATCTAATTATTTTGATCCGAATCAATTTTTAATTAAATTTCACCGTAGGCTCTAAAAATCACGCTAGTCACAATGGCGTAGTCAATTTCGGGTTTTGTGGCCGATAAGGCCTTCAATTTAAATTCCAAAGCAGATAATCGAACAGATATTCCTACGATGAACAGATAGAAATTCAAAACCACATATTTTCACATAATCAAATTCATGATAAGGACCAATTAGCATAATAAGGAACAGGGTTATCACATATACATAGGTGCCGATCCCGCGGACGAAATTTTCATGAAATGACAATAATAGTGCTTGTATAGCCTACGTTTATATAGGTGCCGATTTACGGTTTCTCGCAGACGAAATTTCTGTGAAAGGTTGATATTGTTTTGAGATTCCCAAAGTGTAATTCACTGCCCTGTTTCTATTGTAAAGGAAGTGACTTATGAATTCTGGTATAAAGCTGGCATTACATGGTTTTTGGAAAAAGATATAAAATGTTTTGACACGAGCATTGCATGTATATTTCACCCTTATATCTTTGTTAATATTTATATATTGTGTTGGATTATTTCTATTGGGTTTTGACTCACCCTATGTGGGAAAACCATTTTCAGGTGCTGATGATATGGTGCTTGTATAGCCTACGTTTATATAGGTGCCGATTTACGGTTTCTCGCAGACGAAATTTCTGTGAAAGGTTGATATTGTTTTGAGATTCCCAAATTGTAATTCACTGCCCTGTTTCTATTGTAAAGGAAGTGACTTATGAATTCTGGTATAAAGCTGGCATTACATGGTTTTTGGAAAAAGATATAAAATGTTTTGACACAAGCATTGCCTGTATATTTCACCCTTATATCTTTGTTAAGATTTATATATTGTGTTGGATTATTTCTATTGGGTTTTGGCTCACCCAATGTGGGAAAATCATTTTCAGGTGCTGATGATATGTCTCTGCAAGGAAATAGATTGGGAGGACTTGGAAGTAAAAGCTTCATTTTGTTTATTTTGTTGTATTCCTTTTGTACAAGCCTAGGGCTTTAACTGTATTGGATTTAAATCCATTTTGTCGTAACTAAGATATGATTTGTTTTATAAATGCTATTTTGAGAATCATGAATGGCTGTCCAGTTTTTCAGCAATGTATTCATAACATCCTTAGCATCAAGTGTTCATGTGATATCTGTGACCTAAAACCAGGGTTTCAAGTGGGTTCCATCCATGGAACTGGTTATGCATAACTGCTTATATGATCTGCACGTGGGTCTTTATGACTATCTCAAGTGAATGTGGGTCTTTATGACCATCCCAAGTGAATGTGGGTCTTTATAACCAAGTGATTTGTTAGCTAATGGTTGTACCACGTATAACTGGTTGAGAAATTTGTGTAAGTATGTGAATCTGAATTTGTTCTGATCTGAAATCTGATTTCTGAATCTATTTTATACATCATTCATAAACCCTTTACTCTGTTGTTATTCACTAGGCTCTAACTCATTGTATTATTTATGTATGTAGGTGATCAGGCGCGTGATCAGACCTAAGTTGCTACCTAGATCTATTTTGTGTCAGCCAACCTGTGCGCCTCCCAAGGAGGTTCCCGGAATGCTTCAAGTGGTCGAAATTTGTGAACTACATTTAAGCCTTTTGTTTATTTTGTTTAAGTCTAATCAAGTTCTTATACACTCTGTTTATTGGGCTAAGGCCCATTTTGATTTATCTGTATATAAGATGACGTAAGGCTAATGTGACAATGATATCATATATGTAAATAGAAGTTTCAAATTTTTTGTTCCATGTACGTCTGCATAGCTCTATAGACATTATATGATTGTATTTGCTTTTTGTTAAACTGTTTCGGAGGCCTTTGGTAATCCCAGGATTACTGGCCAGTTACAATGTTAAACCTATAGGGGCGGGTTTAGGTCGTCACACCGAGCGATTGTGTCAGATTTGAGATCATTATATAATCATGAGTACATATATAGTGTTGAGGTTAGGCATGTTTATGAACTATGACTCACGAGGGGTTTTGAAATGTCTGACCTCGTGTGATCCAATGAATCTGGGGTGTGAACTAGATATTTTGAGTGAAGGTTAGTTCATGGTGACTTAATATTGCACTCTTCCCTTTACACCTTCTTAAGTCGGACGCTTTATTTTTTTGTATGAGTAGTAGATTGAATGAGAGATTGACAAAATGATAGTTGCAAATATAACCAATGATGTGGACGAGTGGAAGATGTTAGAAATTGAGTCGGTTTTGACTCGACCCATTACCCATGGAATGTCCATATGGATTATTGATAATTCACATGATTTGTAAATAAGATAATTAAAAGATTATCTTTCAGGAAGTGTTTGAGTTTTGGGAGATTGCAACTCCACCTCTATTGGTAGAGAATCTCTATACATCTGATATAGAGAGAAAAAATAATATATGTATTATTCGTATGGGAGTTTACACAAAATCTCCACAAAATATTTCTCTTCGTTCTTCCCTCCTATGTTACCATTGTAAAATCTAAGGATTTAGAGTGTGGATATAATATTAAGAAACTTTAATAACTTCTTAATGAAAAATGCTTCAGACCACTAATTCAATACCACTAATACACCACTAATGATATGACACTATGTGGACTCCATCACTGGTGTGATAGTTTAGCCTTTGTTTTTTGTTTTTTGTTTTATTTCTTCGTGCATTGCTAGCTCTAATGAGCTGGCATTAGTACTACCATTTTAGAGCACTGAATCAGTGCTGGGTCTTAATTGACAAAAGGTTTTCCAAATGAGACTTGTAATTCAAGTGTCCGATCCAAATCATTTTCACATCAAGTAATATGGTTACCCGTGTTATTTTTATCCAACTATATATATAGTGAGTGTTTGAAAAGTTGTTATTTTAGTAGGTTATTTTAATTTTTAACTATTTTAGTAACCTAAAAATCTATGTTTAAGAAAATAGATTTTTTTTGTAGTTGAATGTAATGTTTGTAAGAGAAAAAGTGAAATGATTATAAATTTTAACATTGTCTTATTAATTATTTTAGCATATTTTGTCCTTTCATAAATTTTAACCCAGAAAAAAAAGGCTAAAACCAACTTGCCAAACACCCCCATAAAGTGAACATGTTACTTGATGTCCAAACCTTCTTTTTATGCCATGTGTCCCATATTTCTTAGAGAAATATAAAATTAAATATTAAGGTGGTGAAAGGGGCTTGAACCTAAAATCATTGGTCTAATAAAACAATACTTCTACCACTAAAGCAATAGACACTATATTTTTAATTCAAAATCAAAATGTATATTTTATAGATTTAACATGACATTTATTGGGTGATACTCACCCACTAGTGTAAAGTGTTGTTCAGGACACCGAAACAAAAATAAAAAATAAAAGAAACCTTAATGTAGAGAGAGAGAGAGAGAACAAAGACGTTCAGTGAATAATTAATTAAACAAAAAGCATACACAATCATGAGACAAACAGGAGGATGGTTATTAGTTATTTATGCCATCTATTTCTAACTGTCGTGCTGCTGCTGCTCATCCTCCTATTGCAAATATTGAGTGGGTGAGCGAACGAGCGGATGTCATAATACTTTGGACTGTACCCAATGGATGATTCCCGTTGAAATGCGAAACAACCTCAACCTCAACCTCATCCTCATCTTCATCTTCATCTTCATCAAGCAAGACTACCTCTCAACATATTCCATCGCCTTCCTCTTAACAGATTCAATCCTTTCTTCATCATCACCTACAGACTTTTCATACTCCAAATACTTTTTGAATAAGAACTGCATTTCCAACAAACCACTTATTCACTCACTCATGTGACAAGGAAAGTCTCAAAAACTAAATCTTTAGCATGAGCACGAAAAAAAACAAAAAAACAAAAACAAACACAACCAACCAGTTAAGTTGCACACACCTTCATCCTTTTAGGTGGCAGGCTCAAACTTGTTGCCCTCTCAAATAATGCACGAATCACATCCACATCACCAAGTCAAATTTCCTGTTTGTTAATTTTTTTTTAAGACAAATTTTAATGCATAAAGCAAACTATATTTTTTTATCATTCATTGTTAAAAATAAACAACAGAAATAGAAGAAAAGGATTTTTACTTGATCAAGATAAATGCTCCACAAATCTGTTCTCTTTGGGTACTCGCGAAGCATTCCCTCAAACATGGATCGCCCTCTATCAGGAACCCCACATTTGAACTCTAGAATAGCTGCTTGCGAGAGGAACTTAATGGGGAAGGCATACAACAGCTCGTTTTACAATAGACTGAACTTCATCCCGATTTTGATTCAAAAGCCACTGAATCCGCCTTAGCCAAACCTATAAAAAATAAAAATTAATAAAAAACGTATAGTGAAGTCTAGTAGATTAATTTGATAGCTCCGCCGCTCGAGGAAAAAACAATAACAATACTCTAGTTTATTATATCATAAAAATACCTTGCATGAATGCTTTGAATTTCTTGCTCATTTTGCTGAGAAGCTCGTCAGCCAACTTGTGTTGCTCAATCCTTTCATGCATTCCCAACAGTGCCAGATGCACCTTTTTGGGATCACAATACTGCAATGCTCTTCCAAATATTTTTGAAGCGGCGTCCTGAAGAGAAAAACTAAAGTAAGAAAACTCCTAGAGCTATTGAAATGATACTGATGGTGAGAGTTTTTTGGAAACAAGGCAAAAGGATATACATGTATAGTATATATATTTTACCTCTGGAGGATATCCATATTCATTCTCTAAATTAAAATAAGCCACCCATACATTCAACTTCTCAGATTCTTCTCGGATGTTTATTGTCTTCAAAGCCCTAAAGAACACAACACAGACATAGAGTGAGAAGCAAACTAACACACATTATGAACATAAAAGCCAATTTGTGGATGTGCATTTATTTTATTTTTTTGATGCAACTAGCTACTGCTGACACAAAAAATGGCTTGTCAGTTCAACCACAGCATATTTGATGAAGGGAATATAAGGTAAAACCAAAAAATTTGAATGTAGAGAAAAATGAAACCAAAGAAGAAAGAAACAAAGAAAAAAAAAGGAACAAATCAATACAATAAGACATCACGTGACCAGAAAGCAGAAATGCAATTCAGGACCCATAATAATGTCAATTCTCTGCTTCAAGCCCAAGATCCCTAATCCACTTTCACATCCTGTTCAGATATTCTCGCTTTTTCTTGACAAACAAAAGCTTACACACAAGACCATGCACTCCTATGTGCCATGTGGCTATCCACTCAACAAATCAGTCTCGTTATTTTGAAAATTTAAGGTTTAGCGTTTACTTTTCAACTCAAATTAAACAAGCCTTTGTCTCAATTATCTCAGCTCAATTTGAATATTTTCTTTCTTCATACTACCGGAGAAATGCTTATTATAACATTGATAAAAGCAGGCAGTGGATCGGATCCCATTGTTAATAACTTTCAGTATTTCCTGTTAAAAAATAAATCATAATAAGGAGAATAACAACAATAAAAAGACACATTTAGGGACAAAATGTTTTGCTTGAAGCAAGAATTTCAAATAAGATTTTAAAAATAAAATAAAAATACAAATGCAGAAAAAAAAAACACTCCATATGTTTTTGCCAGAGCAAACTGGAAACTAATAATACAGCTAAATGATTACCTCTCAGCAATTGAGCGGGCTTTCTCAACATCAGCCAAAGAAAGCATAAATGCCATGTACTTTATCCAGACAAAGCTGCTATTTGGGGAAATTCTAACCACTTTCTCAAATTCATCAGCACTTCTTGGAATATCTTTCTCTAATAGCCTTTCTTCAGCAGCCCTAATTTCTCGTTCCCTGAGCAGAACAATTTCCATTCTTAACAGGAAAACTGAGACAGACAGCCTTTTATAAGAAAATCATGAAAATATGTGAATAAAAAAATTACCTCTCTTCATTGGCTTTCTTCTTTGCCTGGCTTTTATTCTTTTGATCTACAGCATCAGCATCATCAACGTGCTCTATATTTTGACAAGCAGCATTAACCATGTCTGATTTCTCTATATCATCGAGAGGGACCTCAAGTGGAAGAATAGAAGCCCTCGCTTCCACTTCAGCAAGAAGAAGATGCTGCCCATTTTCACATTCAAAGTCCAAATTCTGCATCCCCAATGAGCCTCTATCTGGCAACATTGTTAACTGAGTACCCACCATGTGATCTTTTTCCTCAATGGCATCATCATACTTCTGCTTTGAAGGAGCTTGAATGTCATAATTGCTCATAAAATAAGAATTCTTCATCCTAAGAGAAACTCGTTGTCTATCCTCATCCACCTGATAATAGTTTGAAAAACAGAAGAAAATAAAAAATACAGCTTCTGTAGCCACAGAGAGTTACTCAAACTGGCAGAAGTTCCACAGCAGCTGTTCCTATTTTAGATAATATTTAGAGAAATTATTCATTTGAATCAAGATACATGTTCTCCAGAGTCTAGAAAGAGGTTACAATAATCACCATTCAGCAATCATAACACAACAACGATACTGCTTGCAAAGCTTGACATGCAATTGTTTACCTTCAAAACCTTTGATGTAACTCTCTCCCCTGCTCTGTATTTAGTTTCAATATTGTCAACATGATCATCAGAAAGCTCGGAAATATGGCATAATCCAACCTAGGCAGAAGAAGAATGCAATTATAAACCCAAACTAATATACAGTCTGCTGCCAGAGCAGAATACCATGTGTTACATAACCTAAAAAGAGTTGGGGCACACCTACCCATAAAACACATCCTATATTC